AATTATGAATATTTTAAATATCTTAACATGGTAATTATTGATGTCTTTGGACACTGATGGAAGTAATCCCATGTTATATAGGGAATCAGAGGAATCATAGATAGGACATCTTGAAATGATTTGGTTCATTTTCATAAATTCAGACTGATTTATTTTAAGTGATACTTTTAGCTGATAGGAATGTTGAAAGTTTCCATGGAGAGACTTTTGAAAAATTCCTTGTGTTTCCTTTTATTTTACTTTCAAATGTTTCATCTACTGAGTCAACAGCATTATCATCCTCATTAGATCTCTAGTCATATCATTAGCATCTATTTTATATGTGGTGAGAATAAGATTGAAAGAGATTGTCAAACAGTTTTGTAAAACATGGTCATGTGTTTCTAGTCGATAGCTGTAACTTCTGTTAGCATAGTATTATTATCCATATTCCTTTCAGAAAAACTAAAGATTTGGAATAATTATTTTGTTTTATCATTACAACTTCTGCTTTGCCTTTGTTCATTCTCACATAGCAACCGAGGCCCTTTTGCCCCTGTTTTTCTTTTGCATCTGGCAGCATATAAGGTAAAAAGCTAAGCACAATTGAAGAAGAGCAGAGTTTCTAAGAGAATAAGGCTGAAAATAGAATTAATGATACCATGGAAAATCAGTTTGCCCTACCATCAGACAAAACTCTGTAATAATTGCAAGCTCTCCTTTGTGGTTGAAAAGATTGTAGTCATCAAGCGCTCACTTGATCTTAGACGTGGGAAGAAATTTTCTCACACCCACACATGGATGATTGTATATGTGTTGAAACCTGTTGTAACTTGAGTATTAGAAGAACAAGGATACAACTAATGAAATCATGTTTCTAGAAATGCTTTTACTCTTGTGATATTTTAGAGCACTCTTTCCCAAATTGCAGGTTGGGACCCATTAGTAGGTAATGATGAAATCAATTCAGTAGGCACACCAGTATGCTTTTAAGAAAACAAAAACGAAACTGAATAGAATGGGAAGTATCACAGTGCATTACATGTAATAAAAGAATTGTATCATTTAACTTTTGTTTGTTGCTTATGCATGTGTATGCATATGTGCTTATTTGGGTTGTGATGAAAATCTATGTTCTAACTACAGGACATAATAAAAAAAAAGAAGCTTGAGGTTTCTGTCTTACTCTAGGGACTAGTTAATAATCAATCTAAAAAGTATATTGACACTATTCATTTTACTCCACCCAAATCATTTTCCAACAAGTACAATTCATTTAAAAGTTTTCTTTTAAAGTCTAATCATGCTTTCTAGGGTTGCAGAACTTAGTCCATACCAGGTATATCTTATTTTGCTTTTCTTTTAGTGGAGCATGATTTCTTATCAAAGGGAAATAGTCTTTTAAGGAAGTTGTTGTTTTCCTTTCATAGTGGATGGAATTAAAGTAGACTAAATAAAGGGTTGGCTTGTGTGTATAAGCATCTAGGATTTGTTCTAAGCTTATTTAGAAAGTAGCTTATATATCTATAATTCCTGAATAGCTGATGTTAAAGGCTAAAAGGTAGAGACCTATCCATTAATTTCAGGCATTTGACAACTAGATATTGAGCCCATATCTCTGCTTTGGTACATGTCAAGTTAGTCTCAAGAATTACTTGTTAATATATCTTTCTCCTCTTGGCTGTGGACTTCTTGAAGTGAGAACTACAGTATAGTAAGTTCCTAAATTTTTAATGACAGTCTAAGCATATTGGTTTGCACAGACTTCTTCCTATCTGTATTATGAGGTTAATGTTGAAAGTAGCCTTTAGTGGTACAAAGAATGTTAAGTAAACATAGTAGTTTTGATTATATTATCTTTCTGCTCTATATGCATTGATATTATAGAAAATTTAGAAGATAGATGTATAAGTAAAATGAAAATTACTTGTAAACTTATACCATAGAAGTAAACACTTTAAATACTACGTGTCTATGCATATATAATATATTCTGTTTTAAAGTTTTTTTGTTAAATATTCTTCTAAAACATGAATAACTTCCTTAACATCACATTGCTTGGAGATATCATAGTTTGGCTATTCTTTTCTAATTTAGATTGTTTCCAAATGTTCAGAATTAAAATCTGTATACTTAAATTCTGTACATATATCACTTTGCGAGTTCTAAAATATTCATGAGTACTTGCAGCTTCTTCCAGAATCTAAGCTTCGTACATCCAGTTTTATTTTTGTAAATTGTTTTGAGGAAGTGGTTGGTCAGTCTCACAAACCAGCTATGGCTCCAAGCAGATACCAGGATTTAGACCCATTACAGAGAGACCACCTTGGAAATATTCTGTAGTGGAGAGGAGCTTTCAGTCTAGAAGAGGAGGAAATGATACATGGTTTAGTCATCATGTGCTTTGGCAAGAAATCACAGTTGAAAGGAAGAAAAAGATAAACATTGTGTAGTAGCCACTTTGAAGAGTGGTCAGATTCCCTATGGCGAAACTTCCTCCTCCCCTCTTCATTCCCCATTCCCCCCTGTTCTGATGTTAGATAGGCGGCAGTTTAATCTACTGTGTCACTCCCCTCCAGCCCTCTCCACAACACTACTTGGAGTTTAATCATAAGTCCATGGTTTTATTTTTTAACCCTTAAAGATGGGTCTTTATTTCCTTTAATTTTTAATATTCTTAGAACTATGAGCCTTCATCATCCAGCTATAGTAACCATCAACATTTCTCCATATTTTTTCATTTATTCTGTCTCGTTTCTTTTTTGCCAGGTATTTTAAGGCAAATCCCAGACCTTATGTCATTTCAGCTCTACATATGTCAGTAAGCGTCCCTCAAAAAAGGCCTTTTCTTATGTAGCCTTGATACCATTATCTCACTTAATAAAATTAATAATTATCTAAAATTATTTAATATTCCAATTATCTATTTAGAAGGTTTTATAAGGTTGGTTTTTCAATTCAGGATTCAAGCAAGTCTCAATTGTTATGGCATAGAAGCAGCTTTTAAATCTAAAATACTTTTTTGTGTGTGCCTCTTCGTGTAATTCATTGCTGAAGAAACTAGGTCAATTGTATTTCATAGAGGTCTTTTTATTGCAGATTTGTTTAAATGCTTTATTTAATTACAAAAATTTTAGGCCAGGTGCAGTGGCATATACCTGTAATCCCAGCATTTTGGGAGGCCAAAGTGGGAGGATTGCTTGAGCCTAGGAGTTCCAGACCAGCCTGGGCAACATAGTGTAACCCCCATCTCCACCAAAACAAAAAAAAATTAGCTGGGTGTGGCAGTGTGCACCTGTAGTTCCAGCTACTTGGGAGGCTGAAATGGGAGGATTGCTTGAGCCTCGGAGGCTGAGGTGCAGTGAGCTGTGATCGTGCCACTGCACTTTAGCCTGGGTAAGAAAAAGCATACAGGATAACAAAATCCAAAGAGCATAAAAAAGTATAAAACAAAAAGTAAAAGCCTCCTCATTTACATCCCTAGCCAGGCAAATTGATTGACATCATTTTTTCAATTCTTTAACCTTTTTATTTTCAGATCATTATACCTCACATGCAATTGTAAGAACCAATACAGAGAGAAAGATTGTATACCTTTTACCTAGTTTCCCTCAATTATAACATCTTTGCAGACCACAACCAGGATCTGACATGATACATAACACAAAAAAGATGAACTGATAGATTTTTAAGTAACATTAGTCTTCTTTGTCAGTGATTGTCAATTAAAGAGTCAGGCTATGAGAGGTAGGCTACCTGAGTGTCAGAATGAGGTCATAAGAATAATGCTTCTCTATTGGTTTTCATGTGTGTGCATCTGCCTTCTTCAACACATGACATTGTAGGCATTTTCTCTCCCTAGCAGTTTTTCATTTTCCCCTTTGACATCTTTCTACCTAATCCTTTGAAATCACCAAAACTGTGGAAGCACGAGAGGGTGAAAATTCCTGAAGTAGTTAATACCCATGGAATAAACTTACTATGTTAGTCTTGCCACAGAAAACTCCATAAATAGCTACTTCTATAGGCTAGAGTGATATTAACACTTCTGATAACAGTTTGCTTTTTAATTAGGACTCAGCAGTTCCTTTGTGATTCAGGTTCTTTGGCAGAACAAAGACTCATGGGGTTTTGTTCTGATAGTTAATGGAAGAGAGAAATCTTCCCAAAGAGGGACAGATCCCCAAAGTAATGATGGAAATGTTGACAATTTGAACTTGCCTGCATTCTGCCAGCATTGCTGGATGAAAGAAATTTCCTCTTAGGCCTTAGAGTGGAAGTGGTCAGAAAGAAATATAATTACAGGGCTGAATAAAAGTGACACCCTTGAGATTTTCCTTTGCTGAGACATGTCACTTTTAAAAAATAAAATGTATGATATGATAGTCACATGTAGGTTGATTCATATTATTGCTCCTTATTTTATATTTAACTGTGTTTTCTGGAGGAAGAAAAGTTTCTCTTCCTCTTCGTTTATGAAAGGAGAATTTCATAGTGCTAAGAAAGTGACATTTAAATATTTGACCAGGAGATTTCTTGGTGGCTTGGAGAGGTTGTATTGTGTTTATATTTAGATGCATATTTGTTTGTACTAATTACCCTGGGATTGCTTAATGAGGGTGCTCAAAATAAATGCTTACAAAGGTAGGACAAGTAATAGAAATGAGTAACAAGGACCCAGTGAAGAACTAGGGTGTTTGGCTCCTTTCAAGGGACAGCCATTATATCACTAGCCCTGTGAGAATGACTGATCATGTAGTTGTCCCACCTTTTAGTTGTTTTTTGGTTTGTTTTTTTTTTTTTTTTTTTTTTTTTTTTTA